TCCCTCTAAAAAAAAAGCTTTAGTGCTGTTTAATATTTATTAAGGTTCCATGATGGCAAGAGACAGTTTATTTTTATTCTCATTTTGCAGACAAAGTGAAGACACAGAAAGGAGGAATTTTGTTGATGCATGTATTTGTTAAGTGTCAGGCCCAGGTCATGACCACAGCAGTATGATTTTATARAATACACTGTCATCTTCCCTGTGATTCTGCATATGAAAGTACAGTCAACATCCAACAGGTTAAGTTTAAATACCAGTAGACTTATTTATTTGGAAGCCTCTGGGCTTTACATGTTTTGAATACAATGGATATGTAGGAACTGTACAACCCAAGAAAATTTAGTGGTCTTCCACATGGATTGTGTAAGATTTTTTTTTAAAGCACTAGAGAAAATGGAAAAAAGTGGTTAATCCAAATTCCCAAGAATGTATGGTACCTGCACATTCACAAGTGTTTTCCACATATCTCTTATTTTAACTGTGATATTTTGGGATCATTGTTATCAATGTCCTTCAAAGTTTGGAAAGAAATATGAGATCTCAATTATTATTTTAATACAATGGTAGTGAGTCACCAAACCAAGACCATTATTGGTATAATTTCAATTTTTACAGGTTCTATGTTCATACAATCAGAACTAAATAAAACTCACCATTGGTCAGAAAAGGGCCCTCCAGAAATGTGCAAATGATACCCTGTTCTAAACTAGATGAGCAGTTCCAGCTTCTACTTGCCTGGGGTGGCAGCTGAGGTTCAGAGACCCAGGGGAATAAGAAACAGGAGAACAATAACCAGGGTTTTTTTGCACATGTGTAGGGAAAAAGAACYAGAGCCTGCTAAAAAGAACCTATTCTAGACATTTCACACCTGGAATTGTGCCACTCCAATAGTTCTGAGTTTAATATAATTATTGTGAATTGTYAAATTAACAAAGAACTATTTGCAGAATGGAAATCACTCACCCATAATTATGTAACTGGTTATTTAGAGATTGGTGGTATTCTAAACCCATATTCTTACCCTCACTACCATATGGCCATAGAGTCTCAGAGCCTTGGTCTAGCAATTCCTTGCTTTAGGTCTCCTTTTAGAAGAAGAATGTGGAACAGAGCAAGGGTATGAACTCTATCAGCTGGGCTGCATTGAAACATCTGGTATAGACATGTAGAATGGGCAAAAAACTTCATTAATTTAAGCTCATTGCCCACCTCTGGAAAATGTGAGAAAACTAGCTGAATCACATCATAGAGGTTTTCTGAGGATTAAGAACAAAAGTGCATGCAGACCCCCATCTCTAGCCTTCTGTATAAAATGACTCTGTGACAGTTCATGTTACTAGCAGCTAGCAAAAGACGAAAAATAAATAAACAAATCTAGAAGTAAGTTGATATCATGCTTGSCCCTGTCACTACAGGGAAAAACAGACACACAAATAAATGAAGTCCGTTTGTAAAAATAATTCAGAGCATGCCACTATATCTTCTAATTCACCATCATCTTATCTAAAACAATTTATTTGCTATGATAATACAAGGTCTAAGAAATGATGGATTAACTCTAGATAGGGCAGAGAGGTGGGAAAGGAAGGGAGGGGGTATGGAGTTAGAAATGATAATGAAATGTGATGGACATTATTATTCAAAGTACATGTATAAAGACATGAATTGGTGTAAATATACTTTGTATAAAACCAGAGATATGAAAGATTGTGGTCTATTTGTGTAATAAGAATTCRAATGCATCCTGCTGTTACATAYAAATTTWAAAAATTAATTAAAAATGAAAAACAAAGAAATGATGGATTAATTTAAAATTGTACTCAGTCTATTCTGCAACTTTCAGCCATTCTAAATTTTCTACCCTAAGAAAGGAGCTCAAAAATAAAGACGATCATGAGCAGAAAAATCTGTAACCTAACATAAGTCAAAGTACACTAAAACCATTTTCCTCTTTCAAAGAAGCATCATAATGAGTTAAAAAATGAAAACATATACTAAACAATTATCCATCACCATGTTTTACTCTCTTTGTGTGATTTATGATTGTGTGTAATATCCACTGACAGAGATACATGAGAATTAATCTATATTAATAAAAGGTAGTACCTTATGAGTGATCATTGCTGTGTCAGACACTAGGTTAAATGCCTTGTGTGGATTTTTTCATTTAAATACCAAAAAAGTATTTAAGCCATTAAGATCAAGTTATMAATTCTGAAAATATTTCAATATAATCAACATGGATGCATTTAAATTGGTCAGAAATCATTATTAAAATTAACCATTACTTCTCTCAAAAKAATGGACCTTTAAAAATAGAATTATTTCATAGTTACCATAAGTGGTACACTTATAACTCAATGGAAATTTTTGTAGGTGTTCTGCTTCTGAGAACAATAGGACAAGTGATTTAAGTAAACTGAATTATGGATGGACCAAATTATGAATAAAAATTTAAGTATAAAGAATATAATAGACAATCTTCTTGTATTTTAMTTATTCTCAGCACATGAGCTATTTGTTTTTTTAACCAGCCAACTTTAGCAGAGGGAATATTTTTCTTCAATTATTTCTTATGTTAGAAGGTAGGAAAAGTCACATCTCGATTTCTTTGAGTAAAACTCAAGACAAGAGTTGCTTTTATCACTATGACTTCTAGGAGTCATTAATTAATGATGGGTTAATTAAAATGTCAGATTATTTTGCAACAGCCAGCTATTCTGGCTTTTCCTTGAGCTAGGAAATTCAAAAGTTAAGATGATCAGGAGGGGAAAATGCTACAGCATGAGATAAAGGTAAACATACACTAAAACCTACCATTTTCAACTTCCAGATCAGCTTCTCTGGGATTAATAGTGGTGACAGCTAGAAGAAAAGAGAGCAAATACTAGTCAAAAATTCCTTTATTATTTAAAAGTGTATGAGTATGTGTATACACACACTTACTCTGCATATAYATATGTGTCTGTCAAGAATAGAGAGACAATTATTTAAAATGAGATCCCCATAATTCCAAAGGTAATTAGGTTCACTTTATGCAATTCAATAGGTATCATTCTTATACTACGTTTTGCATACAAGAATGTTGATCTTCCTGAAAGATAACTTTTTCTTATTTTTCACAACTGGAGTSTATCATATCCAAGACTGTCTGGTTTTCTTGTGTATTCACAGCTCCTCACCCAGTGCGTGCTCCAAAGTAGGTGATACTCAAATGCACATTCAACGGAAAAATAAACAGAAAATTGGCTGCTTTATAGGATCCAGCACACATGGCTGATACAAAGTGCTAAACCCTAAAATAATCCATCCATTCCCAGAATCAACATGGAAAGGAAACAGTCTGATTTAGAGAAATTTTTCATGTAAATACCAGAAGCAGTTGAATCTTTCTACATCATGCATTTCTCCATTATTCTTGATTGGTGCACATGATTTTCTGGAAGTGTGGTGTTTGTGGACATGAGAGAACACATTCATGAAATTGGTTCCTACTCATTGATCACAAGTTAATGCCTCACAAGCATTATTTTGTTTTAAGTCCTCATTCACAATCAAGTGAGTTTTATTATGAAAGTTCCAATAACATGAATGAGAAAATAAAAGGTAAAGAGTACATTTATCTTTCCAAGATTCCTACCAGTGTGTGGCAGGGCCAGAATTCAAAGGATTTTGAGGGAAACTAAAAAAGGGCATGTGGAAATTACTTTGTAAAAATAATACAAATGATTGTGAGAGAGTTATTAGTAGAAATATTATAATCTCTAAATATGTTTAGTATGATTAGAAAATACACCTATTTTAAATGACAGGTACTGAGAGTATTTCAGTACATTCTTTCTGGGGAGAGAAAAATAGGCAAGTCATATTTCTAAGAGATTGAGATTGAGAATTTTATTTACTATGATTAAAAACCAAAACTGAGTAATTTGATCTCATACGTTACCCAGACATACAAACAATATACAAATAAATTAATGAATTCCCTTTGTTGAAATACTTCAGAGCATATCTTTGTATCCTCTAATTTACCAATCTCATAACAAGATAGATAGTTTACTGTATTAGTGTGATGTGAGGAAATGAGGTATACCTTAAAATGCCACTTAGTTTATTGTGGAACAACCAGACATTCTGATTTTTCTATCTTAGATGAAGGAATTTCAAAAGTTAAGATAATTAATAGTGGAAAAATGATATGGCATGAGATGAATGCAAACACACTCTRAAACTTACCATTTTCATTTTTCAAGTTGGCTTCTGTTGGTTTCATTGTGGGCACAACTAAAAGCAATGAGAGCAAATAGCAGTCAATTATTCACTCTTATTATCTCATACTTAATGTATTCAATTTGTCCACAGAGACAGGAGTGATACACATTAAAAATGGGAGCCCCACTGTTTAAAAAATAAGTGGTTTCTAATTCAGTTAATAGTACTCATACATCATGATTCTGCACATAAAGATGATGAAGTTTCTAGAATATATGTGTCTATGTTTGTGTGTATAGATATGTGTACACACATATATGCGTATACACACATGTACATTTTTAAATCAAAACTATTTTGTTGTTTTCAAAAAGTGAGCTTCACAAATGTTACAGTCTTTTTCCTTTTATCACAATCTGAATGCACATCCAGGACTATGTGCTTCTCCTCTGTATTCACAGATTCTTGCCCAGGAAATTACTCAAAGCAAGTGATCCACAAATACAAGTTCAATGGAATAAAATGCAGAATATTGGCTGTTTTACAGGATCCAGCACACACTGCTTACATGAAATGTTGAGCCCCAAAGAAATCCATCCACTCTATGTTGACAACAGAATTATACACATTCAAAGGAGTCTGATCTGAAGAAATTTCTAATCTGAACAGAAGACAGCAGATATACCTTCCAAATCATGTCTATCCCCAGTGTCCCTGGTTCATGTGCATCATTTTCTAGACATGTGATGTTTGTGGGCATGAAGAAATCAATATTGACACAATCTAATACCTGTTAAATGACCATGGCTATATCAAGCTCTTGGGTTAAATGTTTCATGTACATGAGCAAAGTAGATTTTAAAAATAATTCATACAAATATAAACAAAATATTTAGTGGACAAATTATTCCACAATTGTGAACCAAAGGAAAATCTTCTCCTATAGCATCTTAAGTATTCTTAGCCAAAGAACTTTTCCTGTTTTAGGAGCTCAGCATTTCCACAAAATTCTTTCAGGGACTAGGAAGGTAGGCCAAGTCACTTTTCTACCTCTCTGCCTAAACTCAGAGATGATCCACAGAAACACACAGACACACACATACACAAGCACACACACACACACTTATATATTATATATATATCGCCTTATTTATGTATATAATTGTGTACATATATATGTATATATTTATAGCATTTTTAAAAAGCAAACATGTAAAAAAGATTACATTTTTAAAAGAATGATAAAACAAAAACAGAGTCAAAATGGCTGTTTTATTCTTTTTCTCTAGATGCATTCTTGTTCATATGAATACACTTGCACTACAGCATTTCACTGAACACTGAGTATTCTGTTTGTATTTTAAAAGATGGAGTTGTGGTATAGGATTTGGGGAGTAAGTTCCAAAATATAATGTAAGTATTGTCATGTTTAGATTTGAAATATTTTCAAGAACTGACTTTTAGAACTTGAAAGTACATTATTTTTCTTAAGTGACTTTATTCACTAAAAGATAATGACAGTCACAATCACCACGAACTAATTGGAACTGATTGGGGCAGAAAGAATACAACAGAGTCCCTAATAGAAAATCTGTGTTTTCTAAATTGTCTAAATCAATGTTGGTCGCAAATTGGAACCGATTAATTTTATTTACCTTAAAAATAATTATTTCACTCATTTGTGCTTCCAGTTGTTATTTTTATAAAAAAAATTTAATAATCACCAATGGAAAGCATTGTAGAATGTCATGGACAGAAGAAGCTCCCTCTTTAGCACTGTAGTGACAAGAACCCATGAGAGTAATTTGTTTTAAAATTAGTTCCTTGTAAATCATTATTAAACCGGGACCTCTCTCCTGCGTGATATTCATCACCATGGAACTTGCTATTATTTTTATTTTTCCCTAATCGATACAAAAATATGAGCCTAATTGGGCATATAAACGTAGTGGTTAAATTAACCGTGTGTGTTACTTATGTGTCTTCCCTCTGTTTCTCAGCAAGGGAAATAGAAAATTGATGATGTCTTTGTAATCTTACTTTAGTTTGTTTTAGGAAAGGCTATGAATAAGAGCAAAAAATATATGAATAGATGAATCTAGGATCTACCTTTTTTTTTCATTTGATCTTCATCATAGCTCCAGGGAACATCAGGCAAATGTTCAGACCTCATTGGTCATGGCAGAAAGTAAGGGTCCCCAGAGGCTGAAGCCTTACTTGGAAAAACTGGGTGGAACACGGAAAAGGTCTTCACCACTTTTACTATGTTTGTCTTCCTCACTGGTAAAATTTTCTGGCCAGTGGTAAAATTAGAAAAAGATTGCTTCCCATGCCCACTGGGGCATTTCAACTGTGGTTTAACACTCAGGACTGTGTTACCTGTTGAGTCTCTGGACCACTGCTAGGCTTCTTCACAGTCAGGGCTGTGCCCAACTGTGTGGATACGTCTCTCACTGCATCCAAAGGATTCCTTTGGGACATCATGCCTGAGTCATGCATGGCCCTGAGTGATAGGGAAAGAGGATTCTCTGTTGGCTGCAGCAAGTCCTACTAGGGGCACTAATCCTAGACTATTCATCACATTCCATTTGCAGGCCTGGTGTATGCTAGCAGAACAGGAAACATGTATATAGCTGCATTTACCAATGGCRAGAAGCATTTGCACCACAGAGAAGTAGAGTGTTTTCATACATGTTAGCCTTATTCAAGCATAAGTCAGTAAACATTGTCTAACAGTGATATATAAAATGAAAATCAGAACAACTGAAGGCGACCTTAATACTTCAGTGGTCAAGTTTCTTTCTTATTTTTGCTTTTGAACTATGTTCTGACTCTTATCTGAGCACCATTTTATTAACTGAGCACTCCTTCTTTGTAGATTAAACTTTGTGCATGGCAAGACTGAAGTCTGAAAGACCATAATTGTTCTGATTTCTAAATCAAATAAAATCATSCAAAATGGAAGATACTTTTCAGCAGTTAACATTTTGCTAGATCCTTTCATGTATGTTATTTATTTCATCCACATAAAATTCTAAAAACACATCTTGTTGTTTCAGTATTTTAAATATTGAAATAGAGAATTAAAAAGCTTAAGGTACTTTTTCCATGTTTTCACCTGTCTATATCATTTTAMTTCAATAAGGAAAATTATAGGGAATTTATGTTACTATGAAATATGATTTTTAAGAAAGACATACTTGGTTTTCTTAATACTTGATTGAAAGGATGGATAATTCCATTTCAAAATATTTTTTTCTAGAAATTTATATTTACATTCATGTGCACATACCTTTCTTTATTGCAGGAAACAGAATCTCTTGATCAACTCCCTCTCTATTTTTCTCATGTTTGACAACACACTTGTGCTCTTTATCCATTGATTCTTCAGTCACAGTTAGCCAGCTCATCTTCATGTAAGTGTCTTTAGTYTTCATGGTATCTCCCTGMTGGGATTCCAGAATCCTATTACCATACTTCTCTTTCCAAAATACCGTAATAACATCAGGGAAAAAGTTCTCGAGAAGACAAAGATGTGTCCCAGCCTTATGAAGTTTTATTTCAGTAAGTGAAGGAAGAAAAATCGTGGGCTTCGGGGAAGTGTCTGCATCAAACCTTTTATCTGTAGAGGAATATCAATTTAAAAGAATAATTGGAGCAACACAAATATTGCTTGTTAGCACATATCAGTAGGGAGACAAGTTGCCATTGAATTTGTGACCATCATGGTCTTTCATCTCACAGAGGTTGCAAAGTATTAATTATTGTCCTTACTTTACAGATGTGCAAAGAAGTTAGGTAGCTTGTCAAAAGTCACAGCTATGAAATGTCAGAGCCTGGATGAAAACTTGATCTTTCTTCTTTCTCAACATACTGAGGAGGATGTGACTTCTAACAAGGCTTTCTATGTTCATAATGCCACTTATTTTTTTTTTTCTATCTCTTTGGTTTTCTGTCAAGGTATAATTTTGTCAAGGTATAATTCAGAGGAGGGGAAGACGACCATGCCACTTTAGTGATCTCTGTAAATGAGGCTCTGTGGTCCCTTCCCCTTCTCAAGTGCTTTTCAAGTGCTTCCCTTGCCCATCCTTTTTCACTTCTGCTCTCTGACCAAGTATTTCATAGTCTCATGCTCTGTGATTCTGTGCAAGCCAGTTTTCATTTAGCTGACTCTTGAATGTACCCTACTTATCTTATTTCTCATATGAATAAGTGTCAGGAGGTAGAATTACTTTTAAGTTTGTAATAATACACTGTCATTTATTTCACTGGGCATGCATTTCTTGAATRCTTACAGTATATCAGTTCATCTCTTAGCTTCAAATGTAGATCCCTTGCCCAGTTCTGAAGATTTTTCCTTTTCCAATTAACGTCTGATGTTTTAYAACATCTCACATTCATATGTGACCTACTCCAGGCCTTTGGATTGGGCAGTGTTTARCCCTGTACTTTCAAATTCCACAGTGTTTTGAATTTTGACACAAAATCACAACATTTTTAAAACTCCTAGTAAATGTTTACATTGATTATATTGTAAAATTCTATTGTGCTGATCTCATCAATTAATGTGCTTATCAAAACGTTTGCTTTTGAAATGTTTTCCAAAAACAGATTTTATTATTATAATTTTTTTTGAAGTKCAAGCATCACTACTGTATTTTCATACTTCTTTTGATAGGAATAAACTGGTTTAAGGAGAGGATCTTTACATCTCATTACACCTAAATTCGACTCTTAGGTTCTGTCTAAATGTTTGTATCAAACTTATATCTGATATTTGGGTTCTGGTTTTCCATTATTCTCTTCCTCTTAATCTGCTGAATAATTGCATATATTATTGGTGTAAGGTTAAAAGTAATGATTCAAGAGTGTCTCACAGATATAATAYCAAAACACACAAGAAAGCATACTTTGTTTAAAATGGCATGTCATGTGTGTCTGGAATGTTAGCTGATTTTAAGTTTATTTTTAATATAATGACTTATTGTAAATGATGAAATGATTTAAATTGATTTTCACTTGAAATTTAAATACTTTGCCAATACTCCCCTTGGTCTAGTTTTAAGTTAATATAGTATAATAATTCCACAGGCAATTTCTTAGGGAAAGAAGAATTGAATTTCACTTTTGAGAAGAAAGGATCAAAAGTTCTTGATGATTTCTGACTGTGTAGCAAAACTCCTTACTCTTAAACAAAATCAAGAAGCATAAGATGTTTATATTCCTGGATGTGTTATAAATACAATTGGTTCTTAGTGTGCTTTTAAAATTTCACTCAGTTTGCTTTTAACACAAAGAGTAAGAGACTATATAATTATCCAACTGTCTACATTATTTGTGTTTTAAAATTCATGCTATAAAAGTTAAGACTAAATTTTCAATTGTGGATTATATTTGTATAATTTTAGTCAAAGTCAATGGGTTAAGAACTCTAATTTTCATCTAAGAGACTTTTAGTTCTTCATAGGGAATCTTCTGATTCATTAAAATGAAGAAATTGAACTCAAATGATGATTGGAAAACATTTATGGACAATTCCCCACCATTATTACTTCTTGCCTCTTTCCTTTATAGTTTAAATTTCATGCTACAACAATAAAGTGAATCTTTAACTTCCATAACTTTCTCAATAATAGTTGACTAAGCAGTAAGTAGTGTACTTGATTATGTACAGTTACTACCTATTGTCTGAATTCTTATGATAACATGCTCTTTAAAAGCATTACTTTTAAATATCTGTATTAAKAGTATTTTCACAGCCAAACATTTTTTACTATACATAAAATGGCAGCCATCCTATTTTATTTGAATAATGAATAGAATGGCCATCACATTTTATTTTAAAAATCAGTAAGCCTATCTAATTAATTTCATATGTTCATTTACCTAATAACATTGCCTAATTTGTATTTTAAAATGCAGTGATATGTATTCCATATAAATTTATCAAATAACAACTTAATTAACTATTGAAATTATATTTCAAAACTATATGTGAGATGTTTCTTAACTTTGGTCTATTTTTTCTTTTTTTTTCTTTCATCAACTAAGTTGTAATAGCTATTTCAAAGTTAATATACATTTTAGATTTGTGACAAGCTTCCCATGGTTTCATTGATTTTACATATAGTGCATTTTGTGTATCAATTTAAATTTTTTCTGATATATCCATATATATCAGAGTAATATTACTGGCTAAAATTGTGGGAAAAATAAATTTTGATATAAGATACATGTTCAGTGGAGATACATGATTAAAATTCAAACATGTATAGTATGATTTAAACAGAAATTCTTAAACACATTTTAGTGTTATTTTTATTAATAAATGCTAAAATTTTTCTAAAAAAAATAAATTCCAGATTCATTTTTTTCCTGTGAGTGAATGTTAAAGTAACCTTCCATTGCAGCATTTAGAACTATACTTGAATCCTCTGAAGAATAGTAAATGTTATTGGATCAAAACATCTCTCCAAGTGGAGATGATACTCACTTTACATTTGAATTGGAAGAAAATTTACAGGATACCTATTATGTGTTGGATAATGTGCCAAGAACTTTCTTCTCATTATCTCATTCAATTGTCACATACCTTCTGGTTTCATACTGTCATCCCTTATTATGAATTAGGAAGCTGATGCCAAAATGATTGCCAAACTTCACTGAACTCTGAGGGAAACAGAGATCCAGGTGGACCTAACTGCAATCCTCTGTCTCTTTCCCAAAGTTTTAACCACTAGAACAAGGAATGTGTCCAGTCCACTGAGTCTATCTCTGACTTATATGTAATAATAAAATTTGTCCCACTGTCAAACACTTAAATAATATCATTATATAAGAGCATTTCATAGAAGTTCACATGTCAACAAAGACAAATCCTACTATAGTATTCGTACAATGTTGACTTCATATAAATTAACTGAGAATTTGTATTAAAATCTCTCCTAAGACAAGCACATTAAACCCCCCTCACTCTCTTTTCTCCCAACATTCTGTTATTCCAGTAGAATCATTTCATGTCTTTCCTCCATTAATTCAAAAGCGCTGTATTATTCTGATACTCACCTGTGACAACAAGTTTGGTTCCAACACCGAAGACCTTTTCATAAAGACACAGTGATTCTACCCTTAGCAAAAAGTYAGATGAGTTTGGCTTTGTGAGTTTTGCAAATTCTGGAGGCAACATGATGGTCTGGAATTCTTAAGAGACCAGGGTTCTGGTCCTGGTTAACTTGCTCATAACAGGATCTGTGACTGAGCAAATCAAATAACTTTAAAGAGTTTATTTATCTTAAAAATATGACAAGAGTGCCAATGGATTCAACATCACTATCAGTAGTCAGTGAGTGGAAATGCTTCCCTGTGTTGTATAAAACAATGGCTCTTTTCCCAATCATTAGTAGCAAGACACATGAATTCCAGCTTTCAACAGAACAATCAGTCTCAAATGCTTTTTTGTTCAGCTCCTGCTAAATTACAGCTTCCAACTACCAGCTTGGTACTTCAAGGAAAAATGACCAGAGAAAGGGCAGAAGGCCTGGTCCTCAAAGCTATCTCAGGTCTCTATATGTTATCTGCATGACCCAATACACGRAGGCACAAGCAATCAGGTCATTGATACAAATGTTAGTTTTGTGACAGAGATGACGACATGCTGAATTTAAACATGCTGAAAGTACAGGAATACAAGAGGCTTTCTTTCCCCCAAATAACCAAATATGGGGATTGCCTTGTGATTAAACAGGGGCATAGAGCAGGCAATACAAGGGCCTTATGGTATATCCTTTGMACAACCTTTTACATGAAAAATTGTTCTTCCAGCCCTCTGATCAATGGCCCAACATGGAGAAGATATCAGTCTAAAATTTACGTCGGTTAATGCTGTATTGGAAATACCACTGGTAAAACAAACAAAACAAAACARAGAAATAAAATATGAATCACTAATTATTATTTGGGAATGAGGTCTGTATAATTTGTACTATTTTACACATTTATGGAATAATAATAAATGGGAAAATGCCTTCATTTTGTTTTTTGAAAGAATAATATCCAGTGACATCACCATATGGGATAACCTAAAGACACTGAGATCTGAGATGACTGAGAACATTGTGGAGTGATTCATGTTTTCAATATAGGTGAAGCCTGGGCAAAATTCCTAATGAAATGGAAAGGTTATAAAAAAAACAATATTTTTCTTTGTAACAATATAATTTTTTTAATTTTGTAGGTCAATCAATTAAGAGAGTGAACATTATAAGCAGAAACAGATATTTACTATTTCCTTAATTTCAAAGGCAACCGATCATAGTAATCATACAGTTAAATCTTAATAAATATATATTCAAAATAACTTCTTAGTATGTTGGGGTTCATATGTATAGAAGGATAAACATCTGGTTTTGATTATGAACCAACTTCTTTTTCCTTGATAGRAGACTTGATGAGCTCTGCCAGAATGGAAATGAATAATGATGAGATGCTCTCTTTAACAGTTCCTTTTGAAAGGACTGCTGTTTTTTACTTCAAAAATATATACTACAGCCTTGAAACTGAGCATTGAAACTGCCCATCAGAGGGTCCTAACTGGTGGGTATTTCTGCACATTTTGCAACCTAAGTGTCAAGGCAGCTACACAAGTAAGAAATGTTATTCGGTAAAGCTGCTGTAGTTCTTTTACCAGCTTCAGTATTGCTGGCAAATTTGATAGCACCACATAAAGAAAATTGAGAGGAATGGGATTAAAATGGCTTGYCATTCTGTAGAAGTGCACTAAGATTCATTTCTTGAGTATTTAGTAAATGCATATTCAGTATGAYTTCCATGATATCTTCTGGGGAGAGAGGAGTAATCCAGTGCCAGTATTAGAAGCAGAAATATTGTGCTCATCATGCATGATTAATAATACAAATTGTGAGATGCTGTTGAGTAGTCAAATTGYCCATTAAAAGACAAGTTACAGAGGACAAAGTTCAGAATATCACAACAGGCCTAATTTTGCAAAATCACATAATGGTCTAGATCAGGTGCTTTGGAGTGACAAGTCTCCACTGAATCTCAGTCTTTGCCACCTTTGCTGGTCCTGTGACTAAGAAGTAACTGAACTTCTGTAGTCCTCACTGTGAAAAGGAAATGAGAGTTTTTCTTATAAAGAGTTGTTGAATGAGGACAGAAGACAATGAAATGCTTTAGTGTGCTGTTTGGCCTACAAAAAATAAATTACCTAATATTATTATTATTTTTTTTTTAGTTTGGGGTCATTTCATCAAATTCTTCTGCCAAATACAATACCACTTGTCCAATATGAATATCATTTATTCAGACTATCAAGAAATAGAAGTGTTTCATTTCAGAGTCTTAAATTATTTATGTTTCTGATATTTGAATTAGTATGCTTATGCTGTATAYGGACATTATAAGCCATAAGTTCCACACAAATTAAGAAATAAAAAGAGTTCAACCMAGGATCTCCAGCCTCTCTGGAATTCAGAGGCAAAAAACCACAGCAAGGCACAACCAATGCAAAATCTAGCAACACACACCTATGGGCCAGGAAGCTATTAAGTGTTAAGCCTGTGTGTAATCTCCCCTTTAATCTTCAGCATGCAATGACAAAATCACATTCAATAAATGTATGGATAGAGAATGAATGAGAAAATGAGAAAAGAAAACCTTGGATTGAAGTTATGTGTGGAACAAGCAAATTTCAGTAATCCATGCCATCTATAGGTAATACAACAAGAATCACTGTCACATAGAAGTTGAATAATGGCCTTTCATCTAAAGAGCTAGAGATAGATGAAGTGGGATTTACTAATGTTCTATAGCAATGTACTATGAGAATTCATTGTTTTGTACTATTGGTAAGGAAGAGTTCAAAATCAAAAATATTGATTTTGTTGGTTATCTGGATAATAAAATACTATGTCTGATTTCAAAATATAGAGAAGACAACTACTAAAAATCTGTTTGGAGGATTTTAATATGAAAGACCTACAATCAAAAGCTTCTTAAAGCAATAATTTATACCAGTGGTAACATAAATGCTTCTTAACGTATTTTAATTTCTATCCTGAGGCTATCCTTTGCACGTATGTACATTCTAAAAGAATAATATCAATACATTTCCTGACACTAAAGAGAAAAGAAACATCTACAAAATGATTTTGTTTCCATATCCAGCAGCCTAGATCTGCAGACTGGTCCTTCGTGTTCTGAAGACAAGAATGAGGCAGAGACAGATAAGGTTGATTTTAAGATGTTATTTTTTTTCTTTTCTAAAAGTGTCTATTCATTTTACATTACTAGGATAAAAAGGAAAAGTTACTTACCAAGAGGTGTTGCTATGAATTTATTCCCTCCTGCATATATCCCGATACAGGTTGCACTACAACATTGGCCAATTTGTCTTCAAAAATTCTCAGCCTCTTCCCAAGCTTCATGGCCCAACACYAGCTTAGCAACCTTGCCTTGGCATGTTGATCTTCTGTCTCCCTTTGGAACTCCTTGAATATAGATTTTTTTGTGTGTCACATGATTATTTTGTATGTGTTCTCATAACTTGATCTTATAAATACTTTTCCATTCAGGTGAAATCGCTAGAAAGTGACAAAGGAAAATGGAAAATGTTGGAGAAGGAAAAGAAGAAAGCTGGCCCTACAGGTCAAGAAATTACCTTTCTGCAATCTCAGTGGCTTTGGAAGTTGAGGCAAGAGGAGTGCATTTTCAAAGCCAGCCTTAGCAACTTAGCAAGGCCCCAAGAAAGTTAATGAGACCCTCTCTCTAAATAAAAGATAAAAAGAGCTGGGGATTTGACTCAGTGGTTAAGTGCCCCTGGGCTCAATAAAAAATAAATAAAAAATAAGAAACCACTTTTTTAAAGTACCAGGAAAAGTTTTCTGAGAATTAAGTTGAATTAAGTCTTTTTTCTTTCTTTTTCTTTTTGATTTACAGGTGTTCAGTTGTGTTAAAAGTACTCAGAGTGCATCAAAGGAACACATCTTTTATTCTCAAAGACACAAAGGCTTCTCAGTTAGCAATTTGGGAATAAATTTCTGAAAGGAGGAAGCTGTTTAGTAACCGAAAATGCAAATATGCCAACACATTTGAGAGCTGTGATCCCTATTCTCCATTTTCAAAAAAGGGCACATTTATCATTTGGCATCATGTCTTCTTTCTTTCTTTCTTTTTTGCAAGAACAAATAAAAAAATAAATTATGGACCTGCTGACCAACACTGGATCCAGGCCCAGGCCTAGGACTGACTCAGCTGACCTGTGCAGAAGCCCAGGTCCAGGTTAGGCCCTGGTCCCCCACCACCCCTGTAGACYAGCACATCCACTCCAGAGCTCAGACCCTGGCTCAGCACTGCCCCTGCGGACCAGCAGACCTACTCAGGAGTCCAGGCCCAGGGTAGGCCTTGGTCCATCCTCTAGGCCCCCCCKGTGGCCCCGGCCTAATCTACCTTCATCTTGGGATACTGCAACCATTGCCATAACTCTCCCCATGCAGCAGCCTCCACCTTATGACAATTTACAGGGCTTAGAAGTAGCTGCATCTTGGAACAGGCATTCCAAACCCCTATAAGGCCCACCATTTCAGCCTCATCTCTGAAAGAGTTGCATCCATCATGGGACACCTCCACTGCTATCTCGAGTTACCTCCGTTATTGCTGCCACCACCTTTATTTGCAGTAACATCCATCACAGGACACCATTAGTGYCTGGAAGCCCAACACCAAGGTGAGGTTCAGATAATCTGCTTGGATATTAAAATATTATAGGGTAGAAACTGTAATATCTCATATCCACACTGCAAGAAAGGAAGACACAAAGACAACATGAAAAAACAAGGGAAGAAAGGGCCACAAACAAACTAGGATACTACCATAACAGAATCTATGCACAGCACAATTGATGGAATGTCAGAGAAGGAGGTCAGAATATACATAATTAAAATGATCTGTGAGTTAAAGAATGGCATAAATGAGCAAACACAGGCAAAAATGATCACTTCAAAAAAAGATAAGAGACAAAACACAGGTGACCATTGATCACACCAACAAAGATATAAGGGAGCAAATACAGGTAACAAAAGAGTACTTCAAGAAAGAGATAGAGATTCTGAAAAAAAATTCAGGAATCCTTGAAATGAAGAAAACAATAAACCAAATAAAGAACTCAGT